ATACCCTGGAAGATGTTCGGTTTTATTGTCAGGTAGTTCAAGTATGGTTTTACATAATCGTAGATCATCCACTGGTTTTCCTTGAATATAATCTTGAGCAATGCATACAATTGGGGTAAGTCCCATTTCCATTGTTTTGTTTAAGACAGCTCTATTATTAATTTGAGTGCGTAGCGTATTCCGAAAAACCAGTATTGGAGCCTATTAAAAGAAAAGTAATGTGATACACAGAGAAAATGAATGTGCATACTTCGTTCGATGGCTTTTGTTGTAGAGATACTTGAAGTTTTGGATTTCCTATGACTCCCATACACAGAAGTTGGTAATCTTCCATTGTCGATTGTCCATTTCTTAATCTATTTAAAAGCTTCAAATATCTTACATCTTCAGTTCGCATTTGCTGAGTTAATTCAACAACGCAGTTTATTTGAGACATAAACTTCTGTGCACACAACATATCTATCTGACGTTCTGTAATTTGCTGTGTCGGTGCGCAGCTATAGTAGAGTGGCTTGTCCAAAACAGGAGAACATTGAAGATAGTCGCCAAAGAAAATGACATTGACACCACCAAAAGGTATCTCAGAGTTTACGTGCTTGGCTGTTTTCACTATACGATTTAGACGAGCTAAGAGACTAAGCCGTACCATGCTCATCTCATCGATTATTAAGTACTTCACATGACGCCATTCATTTTCTAATTTCATATCACTAGGTCTAAATGTACGGGTTTGTTTCTTTTTACCGTTTTTGCGACTTTCACCTAAAAATGAATGGATAGTTAATCCGTCAATCTCAGCTGCTGCTATAGACGTTGGGGCGAGTTTGCGCAACATCTTGCCCCGTTTTGTTAGTTGGAAATACTTGGTAATTGCACGAATCAACTGAGATTTTCCAGTGCCACCGCAGCCAGGTATGCACATTAATAACTGATTATCGATAGTACCTAAATATCAAGACTATTCAAAATCTTCAATATCACAATCAAGGAAATATACCGGTATAAGCATGATTTTCGCCATCTAAGTGACTAGTAACAATCATAAAAGCATATTTTTGCTGAGTATTTAGTGTAAATTGTCTGATAATATCTTGTTTTGTTGGAAATAAGACTGCATTGGTTGTAGTCACAGGTGGGACTCTTGTAACTCTCGTTTTAATTGGACTTGTTGGAATTCCAGTGGCTACGACTTCAATCTGTGTTTCATCATCTCGTACTTCCAGAGTATCTTCATCTAAAATTAAATAGTTCCTTGCTTCAGCTCGTCGACCTTCAGTGTCACATTTCCATCCTTTAATCATGACGTTGTGATGCGCGTGAGCTACCACAAATGTGTTGACGTCGTGTATGGTGCCATAATTATTTTGGTCCCAAATTTGTCTGCTACCTAAATCAAAACAAAATATTTTCGAAATATAGTAGTAATTAACTCACCGTTTAGTAATGCAAATCTATCTGTATTATCAATTGCTTCTAATACATCATGAACATAGCGTTGTTCTTGAGTAACTGTCAATGCAGAGTAAGCGTTTGTGGTGATCTCATTTACGATGGAGAGCATTTGCAAACGTTGTTCCGGATCATCTTCGTCTGCATTTTCATCACCTTCATAGTAGTTAGGCATCAGAATAGGGTCAATGTTGTTTTCATTTTGGGCTTCTAAAAGAACTTGATGAAGGTGCTCATCTCGATCGTGTTTGCATTCGTGCAAAAGTTCTATATTTTCTATAATCTTAAGCGAGTTGGGAGAGATCAATAACCTTCGAGCTTCCAATGCTTCAGACCATGTCTCGTTCGTTGCACAAAGGTTCTGGACTGATCGCCATGGCACGAATAATGTTAACAACGCGCGACAATAACGTTCATGTGTTTCTTCTCGTTCGCGGCGAGGTATTTGAGGACCTATCAGGACTGGTACTACTGGAATGGAACGTTTAATTATGAGATGAGATAATGATTGCGGATGTGCGCTGTCAAATGTATGATGTTCATTCATTTTCGTTCCTTCTGTAGGTAATTGTTGGCCTTGAGAATTGGTTACATTCTTTAGTAAACGACGATCCGATTTGTCGATAACCTTCTTATGAAAATGGCTGACGAAATCATATAAACACACTGCACTAAGATCCTTTGATCGATGCTGATAATCAAGACGAGTATTGACCAAGACATACTGATCGCCGTTGTTGGTTTTTGTGGGTTCTAATAAAAATTGTTCTTCGATTTCGTTTTTATCTTCTCCTTGTTCATCGTAGTAAGGCGTTGAAGTCTCTAGAAAACAACATGTTAAAAATCTATACAATTATTTTAAAAAGTTCTACCATCTATTCTCTCTTCAACAATTTCTTTTTCGTTAATTCGTACTTATTTAACTCTCTTTGTAGATAATTTTCGTTTGAAATGAAAAAAAGATTCTTGAATGTATGTGTAGTGTAGTGGTCACCATAGTTCATTAAATATGATGCAACTTGAACACCTGAAACTTCTTGTTGTGAAGCAATCATATTGAAGCAGCGTAACACTAGTTTACGCGATTTGTCAACAATATTATCTGTGGTATTAGAAGTTTGTTCCTCCTCAATAGACTTGATACCTTATTGTGCCAGCGTAAACATATCGTGGAAAACCAGAGTAGACTCTGTTCCATAATCAGCTATATAGTAAACTAATGCTTTAGCGTCGTTACCACTCCAGATGAACTTAATATTCATGTTCGATCTACACGCACTTAAGAGCCATTCGTTGAAGTTATTGATCCACGGGTGCAATCGACGCATGGTTATTTGATCCGTCCTAGGATCAATATTAGAAACCTTCACTAGTGCGCGTGGCATGCGCATTCGACAACTTTTTGGACCATCGTTTTTGCCTTTAGAATATTTATAGCAAGTCGCAGAATGCTTGTGAATACTGCAGGTTTCGACCAACTGAACTATATCTTTGCGAAACGTTTGATCAAAGTCTTCCAACGCAGGATTTGGTGTTGGGAGACATGCTGGTATAAGTTCACTTGCTATCGGCTCAGTTTCTCCTAAAACAAAGAAGCTTATAATTAAAGATTCTTAAAAGCTTCAAAGCCCACCATTTAATGTTCTTCTATCACTTGTTGTACGTGTTCCGTCGTTGGTTTCATCTTAAAAAAGTATTGATATTCACAAGTACCAAAAATTAGAAGTCTCATAAATATATAGTAAAAGTAAGCGATTGGAGTGAAATATGTTTTGGTTTAATGAAAATTTTGAAAATGTTCTGATTGTTCAAGTCCAAAGCAAGACACTGATACACTATCAGCGTGTAAAACAGTATCAGGTAGGCAAATATAAAAACTTCAAATCACAGATTCAAACAATCTTAAATATATTACCTCGAAACGAATCTAAAGGTTCTTTTATGATATCATCTAAATATTTTAGTAAATTTTTACGAAAATCTTGATTTTGAATTTTTTCTTTCTATTGTGCTGGAGTATATTCATGATTGAGCCAAACCAAGAGATGTAAATGAAGCGATCCTCTTCCTTGATTCTCTATAGTGCCAAAATACGCTTTTGTAGGACTGAGCACACCGCCGACAACTAGGCTTTTCAGAATATTTTTTATTAAACAGTTGAAGAACTTTGCAGTTGCAACAGGATGCGTCGCGACAATTTGAGCACGCTCATAACTTGTACGTAGGACTTCTGGCAGAACGTTATCAAGATCGAGATCGACACCTCCAAAGTAAAGTGCCACTGGACTATGGATGTCAGTCGGATTGATTATGAGGATATGACTAGGAAGACCAAGATAAAAACACAAAGAATGAATTTTTGTACGAAGAGCTGATTGTGAATGACCTGAGCCCATGACATGATCATCAATAATTTTGATGTGCTTCATCAACGTATTTATCCTCTCATCAGTAACTTTTGAATAAGGTGCTTTTGAGATATTAATAAGGGCTGCTGCTTTATCTTCAGAATTTAATGAGTTAAGAACTTTTGCAGATTGTTGAAACCACGGTTTTGCTGTCATTAATTGGGTGTGGAAACATGCTGTTCGGCGTTGTAAAATATTGAAGACAACAAATATAAATGAGTAGTGTTGTTCAAAGGGGCGATCTGCATACAATAGAAGATATCTGAGATGCTCACGAAAATTGATTCGAATCGGCCGAGAAGCATCCTGAAGCCCACCAAATCCATATGGAAATAGGGTGGGAAAGATTCCTAATAAAAGATTTGGATTAGAATATTCATTAGCTGGTTTGTTGCCACAAGGAATTATGTAAATAATGTATTGTGTAAAGTTTTGCTCGGTGTCTTTTCCGTATGTTTTTTCTGGTGCTTGTGCTTTGATTCGTTCTAAAAGATGTTCAGCAACTTTATCCGATGACACTTTGTACCATTGACATCTAACACAGTACTACAACATAAATAATATCAGTGCAAAAATGTCAATATGTCTCTTTGTCCTACCTTGAGGTTATGGGTATAACTGTTTTATTGTTAAATTCAGATGCATTGATCAACGGATCAGGAACGTAACATGCTCTTTCATTTTCAGCTGCTTCTACATTAGTAGAAATTTCCATAGTTGCCCACAAACACTCCGGTACATCATCGTCAGGTAATTTATTGATTATTGATTGATTAATTGTAACATTGCGATACAGAGGATTATTCTGTCTAAGCCATTGAAGTGCTTCGAAAACTTTCTTTTTCCGAACGGTCAAAACATTTTTTAATTGGTTTCGTTGCGGAGGACGACATCCAACAAAGATTATCTTTAGAGAATCACATAGATCATCTAAATCTAGTGGTAAGGTAGTAGCCATGTTAATAACATCTTGGGGAAAACTTATGCAACTCCCCTTTAAAGCTGACTGAGCTGTACTTGTTGAATGAAAAGACGAATGTAACTTGACAATGCAGCCATTGTGCCTATAAAGAGGGATCAGTTTTTCCTCAGGAATTGTTAGTCCTTGTAGTTCTTCTGGGACATCTCCAGCCCATATTTTGTTGACAGGCGAAAATTTCGGTATCCCTCTTTTATTAGAGATGACTAACACTCTGAACAAATATCACAGTGAACAGAATATCGTCTTTTTCTCTCAACAGTTTTATGCAATCCTGTTGTGTAAAAAACGACACCGTTTACACAAGTAAACGACTCTTTAGTCATTTTTGATTAAGCATTTGTATATGAAATTAAAAAGAAAACATTATTTACTGCCCCATGCTTTGAAAACCACCGTGATTTTAGCGATTTATCGAAAATTCGGCAGTAAATCGCGATTAATCGTGTTTCTCTAAAAAATAGATGATTATATCGGATTTTATCGCGATTACAAGAGAAGAACCTATTTTTGAAAATCAGTGATAAATCGGAGCGATAAAATCACGTTTAATAGCCGATTTCGATAACTGAGTACGTTTTATGATTTAATTCAAGGAAATTTTCACACTTTATCAAACTGAGAATCGAAATACGATTTCGACACAGTTCTTTAGCATAGTTATGAAGATTTTAAGTCAAATGAGAAATTTCATTTCGATATAAATCTCACTACACTGAAAACAAAAAAGGTTTTATACGAAACTAAAAAAAGGCTTTCGTGATATACACGAAACCCTTTTTTGTTTTCAGAGTACTGTAACATACATAAGATTGGACAATGTTAAGAAAAGATCGAAGTTAAGCTCTTTTCCATTGATTCTGGTTAAAAGGTATATTTCGACATTAGACCATTTATTTTAATGTTTTACCTAAAGTATTGTTTTTTAGAATTTGTTCATGTCTACTATGCAATTTTATAGTTGTTGTTTAGAACTTTTATTTATATTCCTTTTTTTTAGATTTTCAGTTTATAATAAACAAACAAACTATGTAGAGAATCTTTCTTAAGAAAAATTCAATATAAACTACAGTTACCACCTATGAACGTTTTAATATTAATTTTTTTCAAAGATGGTTTCGCCTAATTATACAAAGAATGCATAGCACAGTGTAATTTTTGTTTTCATTACTTAATAAACCTGTGCAAAATTATGTTAGCGTTCAATTTTTAAATAGAAATATTTGCCAAATTAAATAAGTAATAAAAAGTTTCGAATATGAGAAGAAAAACTAGGTATGCATATTTGTGAAATCATATAGAATATCAACGAATAGAGGGTTAAAACAGGCTATGAAGTCATGATTTATCGCCAAAATCAGCGAAATAATCGAGAAAAATCGGTGATTTTATCGCGATTTAGCGCACGATTATCGTTTTGATAAATCGCAATTAATCGTCAATTTCTTACCGATTTTAAGGGCATGGGGTGTCAGTTTACGTATTAGCAAGACCAATCTCCTGCTTTTTCTGTCTGAATCAAAGCGATGACAAGGCCGTCACTCATGTTAAGATTATCATGTAACTGGAATGGATGAGTTTTCTGCATTCCCGGAATTATGCCATAAAAATCATCGGGTACTTTCAGTAATTCAATAGACGGTATATTATGAACGGTATGTGGCGGAGATCACGTTTATAGCAATGAACGTTACAAATACCACAAACACCTTCTTGCAGAGAATTCATTGACATATGTTGAATAAAGTTCTTTAGACAGTTTTTCTTACGTTCAATATCAATAGATTTTGGCCATTCAAAGTGGTTACTTTCTTGTTGGTGCCTGTCACTTTTTCGAAACTGCTTTCTCTGACGAGCAAATGCGTGCTGCCGTTCGAGTACATCAGGTGTGTAAGCAGTTCATCTTGCAGCACTTTTTTTGCGAGCTACTACGCGCTGTTCTTCGGCTTCATTTGGTGATGCTGCAGTTCGTTTACTCATAGTTCGTTCAGTAGCAAGTGTTTGTTGTAGCTGGATTTTTTTCGGTGTAAGAGTAGCTCTCCACGCTGCAACTTTCTCACGAGTTTCCTCTCGTTGTTTTTCGATTTCTTTCAATGTTAAAGTAGCTCTTCTAGCTGAGCTTCTGTCTCGGGCCACAGTACGTTCACGATCAACTTGTTGTGGTGTTAAGGCAGCTCTTCTAGCTGCACTTCGTTCTCGCACAAGGGTACGCTCTCGTTCAGCTTGTTCTGGTGTGAAGGCAGCTCTTCTGACGGCACTTCTTTCCATTACAAGCATCCACTGTCTTTCAGCTTCCTCCAGTGTAGCTTGAGCTCGTTTAGCAGCCATCCTTTGACAAGCTTGTAGTCATCTCTTGTCAATATTCGTGTTCTCCGTGATCGTGTGAGTCTCACTTGCTTGTAGTCTTCGTTTAGTCCGAGGAGTTGTTGTGGCTTCCTGGTTTATCGTGGAATACGTCGATGACATTTGAAATTGTTGACCTTCGTCATCCTTCGCATTAAATTTAGGAATGCAAACTTGAGTTAGTACATTATTCTTCATTGTTAATTTAGTTAGCGTCTGTAAGTGAAAGTTAATTTTTTTTTCTGTAAAAAGGTCTGCACTAAAAGATTGAACTCGCTAAGCCTGAACCGGTGGCTTTAGGTTCAGTCAGACTATTTTGATTCTGAGATTCGCTCGACGGAAGTAAAAGTGATACGAAATGATTAGGTGTCCAATTACCAGCATTACTTCTACGTGCTTCCGTTTCATTTTGAGTATGGGACCAGAATATATAAATTGTTTTAGATGAAATACTGGATTGAATATGCTGAAAAGTACTATTTATGATGTTTAGATCGACTCGATAATCAATTCTCGGATATATAATTCCTATATTGACTTGAAGGACATTGCTTATGGCTGCGATTTCATAAAGTTCCGAGGATGAAAAATCATGGGTGAGATTTTTTATCACCTCATTGAGTGGTCCAACAATATGTGCAAGACGATTGCTGTAAAGAGATTCATTTTTTACGAGTTCTATTACAGTTTAAACCAGAGATGTGCGGTCCATGGGGCTCATCCCACGGATTCCGTGGAGCCACGTGGCGATGGGCGGACGGGAAAAAAAAATTTAATTAAATGCGGGATTAACAGGCACGAGTATTTTCTGGCACACAGATGGGTGAGGCGGAGAACAAATTTTTAAAATGATAGGGGTCTCGGGCGGGTAAAATTTTCTTTTTGGGTATGATGAAGGATCGTCAAACTTATCAAGAGATGTTGTTAGTGTAGGTATATATAGTACAAAGTACATATTGATTGGTTCATTGCTTTCATCCTATAATGTATAAGCTTGCCTGCTATTTGTTTCTTTTTATCTTTATCGCCCGTCGTGCACAGTTTCCACTATTAATTTATATTAAGTGAATAACTGGACTAATACTTATTTTATATTTAGAATTAATATTTGAATTTTTTTTGTCAATTACTATGATCGGATTACCCGATTTATCTCTTGATGAATCACTTGATAGTACAACTTCGAATACTGATCGTTCATTTTCAATCATTTCTTCATCTCTTGGTCAATACTCATCGAGTCATGTTAAATATAATCCATCAAATATAAAAATATTGTTAAAAGAACAACCAGAAAAATACGTGCTTGTCGACAATGAGAAAGTGAATCATGCAAAACCATCTCCCTGTTGGAATCGATTTGCTCTTCCTGTTGTAAAAAATGAAAATAATCGTCATATTGTTATTAAAAATTTTGCAACGTGTCGATCTTGTTATGCACTTTATGTATTTACATATGGATCAACCAAATCACTAAATTCTCACAAATATGTCAAAGAATCATCATCAATATTTACATCACCTAGGTATTTTAATTATCATCTTATTATGTGATCTATTTTTTCTATATTTTTAGTACTAAATCACCATCCTTGAATTCGAAAATAAATCGATTTTCTTCTGAAAAGAAAAAGACATTAACATCGTTAATTGCACTATGGATATGTCAAAGTATCCGTCCTATCAGCATTGTTGAAGATGAAGGTTTTTTAAATATTATCCAACAATGTCTTAGCTGGAATGGTGGTGAGACATTTATTAAAATCTTGAATCGTTATTCATTACTCTATTTTTTTCTATTAGGTCCATTTAATAATATAAATGGTAATGATATATTACCATCAAGATCGACAATTACGAGAGAAATTAATCAACAAGCAAATGATATTCGTGAACATCTAGGTGTTATTTTGAGAAAAGCGGCTAAACAAGAATGTTTAGCTGTAAGTCCAGATTTATGGAGTGACAAATTCAAACAAAACAGCTCTCTTGGACTAACTGCTCATTTTGTTGATGATCAGCATATTTTACATTTTATTGATCTTTGTTGTGAACCATATAATGAAATAGATAAAACAGCAGGGAACGTATTAAAGATTTGAAGCAATATTGAAACTAATGTTCTGTTTCTATTTTTTTTTCTTTTATTTTTGTTGATCTCATTTAATAGTCAATTACGGCTGCTCTTTCTCGTTTTGGACTTGATCAGTTAATGGATAAAATAACTTTTGTTTGTGATCGTGGTAGTAATCTGATAAAAGCATTAGAAGATTATCAAGTGGTTCATTGTTTTCCTCATAGACTGAATAATGTCTTAAAACGAACATTTTACAGCGCAGGTACTAAAGAAAAAAAACAGAGAAAACAAAGAAAATAATCATTGAAAAAGAATCAAAATAATGATCAATTCAATTGGAATAATTCAAATGATGATGATAATGACTGTCTTAAGTATTATGATGATAGGGATTCGAGTGAAAGTGAAACAGATGATAATATTGTTCTTGATGAAAAATCTGTTGAATTAGCTTTGAGAAGTTTATCATCATCACCTGAATGTGATCATGTTAATGTATTAGAAACAAAAATCTACCACCTTATGCTGCTCAAGTGCTAGCAACAATAGTTCGTTGTAAACAATTATGTTGCTATGTAAAAAGGGTATTTTCAATTTTATCTAATGACAAATATATTTTTCTTAAGAGCTTTCATCCGTATTTCATTTAGGTTAATTGGCATCCTAAGCTGGAAGCATTAAAAAAGCCAACGATCAAACAAGCAATAATTGTTCAGTGGCTCACAATGTCACAATTGCTCGAAAGTATTCTGTCTTCATATTCAGCTTTAACAAGTATTGCAAGTGAGAAGGGTGTCCTTCACACTCTTCCTACAATTGATGTGTCAACTGTAGCTACTATTAATGGTTTATTCTTACCATGGAAAGAGGTGATCGAATGTTTACAAGCGACTAATACATCATCTCTCCATCTAGTAGTTACATCTTACTGCTATCTTCTCGAAAGTCTGGTAGTGACGAAGGACGAAGTAGCTGATAAAGCAGCCAAACGTAAATCATTCTTAAAAAAACAAGTCAGTAAAAATCTATCTTTTTTACAGGTGTTGTCTTTTTTAAAAGACGTGCACGACAATTATTAAAAGCAATGTTCTCTTTGCACGATCTACATTGGATCGCTGCAATACTCAATCCACATACAAGAATGCTCAAACATGCTACTGATGTTGAACGTGCACATGCATATTGTCTAGTGCGAGCTAGAGTAGCTAAACTTATGAAAATGACACAGATTGATAATAATGAAGAAGTATTATCTCCAGCAACTGTTAGTCCAACATCACCTCCTCGCAAAAAGTTGAAGTCCTACACAACACAATTTCATGATGACACAGATTTAGGTGAAACAAGTAGTAATATGATAATTGCAAAACGTGCTCGTCGTGAATTAGAAATCTATTTACAACTGAATTTAACTAATTGTAAATGTTTAAATGATGATATTAACAATCCATTGTTGTTTTGGAAAGAACAAGAACATGTACTACTCAATATGTCACGATTAGCAAAACAAATTTTTTCTATTCGTGCCTCTTTAGCTACAGTAGAACGTGCATTCAGTTCAGCTGGTATTGTCGTATCACAGAGAAGAACCAATATTAATCCATCTACAGTTAATGATATTATACTTATTCGATCGACTGCAGCCTATTTGGAGACCCACAAATAGACTCTACTTAAGTTTCTTTTTTGTAAAAATTGATTATTTATAAAAGGAATATATTATTAAAAATAAAGTATTTGGTAAATAAAAAATTTCTTCAGGTTACACGGAAGCGGGGCGGGGCCCATCGCAAAAATGGCGAGTTGGGCGGGTCGGTCCAAGAAGCTGACTGTGGTGGGTACGGGCGGAGCGGGCATAGATTTGCCGGGGTACAGGCGAGGCGAGGATTCTCATAAAGAATATCCACGAGGTTCGGGCGTGACGGGTTTGTGAATTTGTATGGAGCGAGTCCCGCGAGGCATGAAAAATCAATGCCCCGCACATCTCTGGTTTAAACTAAAAAGATTATATTAAGATAACTGAATAGTAAAGTTGAAAGTATCTACCTCTCATTTCGGAAGATGTTAAGATTGCATCCTCAGTGAAACATTTGATAGAGTTATAGAAACAATTGCCATATGCAATGACGTCAATCGGAATCATATTTTGAACATCTAAAGATGTGCGCTGAAGATATAATTTGGCTTATTGGTATACTTTATGAATAACTGGGTTGAAATAAGTAATGGGTGCAAGTCTTATCAGTGTTAAAAGCCAGTCCATCTAAATTGCCGAAAGAGACCATATGACTATAAACCTTTTTTTTTGGGGAAAACTTACAGCCCCGATTTATCTACAAATAGTCTTGGTTCGATCATAATAGCCGTCGGCAGTGGATGCCTTGTCAAATTCCATTAAAAGTGTCTTGAGGGTGTGGGTGGGTGTGAGTGTGAGATGCGGGTGTGGGTTTTTGTAGATGCCCTCATAATGCAAAGACACCCACACCTGAAACGAATTCTCTACCTCAAGTTTGGGCTTTGCTAATACGTAAATCAAACACACATTTTTCAGATAAACAGCGTGGGTACCTCCAAAAAAAAAATTTCATGAAGGCGTTCCCAGTTTGAAACATGGGAAACCCAAACAGATTGTGTTAAATATGGAGACCGTGAAAGAAAACGCCAAGTTATACTTTTCGATTATCGAAGTTTAAAATGAAAATCAAGTTTGCTCGTTTTTCTGTCAACTAAAACGCTAACGATAGAGGATTGCCACTCAAAATTTGTCAACTAGTAAAGTCGTCATCGAAGAGAAATTCATCAAAAATACTATTTAGTAATGATACTGAGAACGAGGAAATTGACTCAGAATTTGAAACATTAGACCAAGATTTTCAAGATACTGACATTGCTCCACAAGAGATCGGAATGCTAGAAAGCTTTAGTATGAATGCTAAAGTGGCACTTCCATCATATCTTTTGATGAATTCCCCAGCTACAACCGCCCCTCGAACATTAAGGAGAACCAAACAAAATATAAAACAGAATCAGGCCTACCGGATTAGATCTAAGTCATTCTAAACAAATGGGTATGGGTTTACCAAATTATCCCTGTATGAACATACCAATGGACACAGATTTTCCGAATAATGTCCCTCCTCTTCAAGCAGAATGGGCTCAACGTGCCGAAGAGGAGAAACACGGATAAGGTTTTCCTTAAACGTGGCCAACAATCCTGTGTCTTGTATGAAGTAAGTGTACAACTATTTGAATAATACTTAAACTTCCAGGAAAGTATAAATGAACGTTAATCGGCTTGTAAAGTGTTTTCAGCTCTTTTGCATAACATGATGCTTATATAAGATTAGCAAACGCTAACCCATTTTACCTTCATAAATTAAAATAAATGACAATTCACCATACGTCATAGTCTTCTTAAACTTTTGTTCTTTTTTCCAGAAAAATATTCATAATAATTTTTCCTCATAGACACTGTCTAGTTGATCAACCTTGTAAGCCATTTTTGGACATCGTTCGAAATTTTTTTATTTTTTTATAACCGTTTTGTAGAGGAAAAAAGTTGTACAACATGTAAAAGATTCAGCGTGGGATCTCTTAAAATGACTAAATGGGAGCTGATACAGTGTAATATATTGCACAAAAACCGACTCATTTTTCCATTCCAAAATAATGAATCAGATAGTAGTATTTCATGGATAACTCTCGATTAGTCCATGGAAACCTAACAAATTAAAAGATGATTTTGTTCAGCGTTCGAAGCTGTATTTTGTGGTATATTACACGAAAAATTTCATTAAATTATTGTCATCTAAAAGAATCTTAACTTTCTATGCAGGATTTTTTATGGTTTTCCTCAACCAGGGCTCTTACCCCCTCCCCCGACAGGTGCAATCGAGCTAACTTTTCAATGGCTCAACCAAATGCTCTAAAATTTTGGATTTAAAGGTTTTAGATGATGCTGAACAAAGTGAGAACATAAAAAAAAAGTCAAGATTTTATCCAGTAGTTCGATATCTGCCACGGTACTCGATCATCTCACGGACTTTCTTAAAAGCTTGAAGCTTCCTCATAGAAGAATCAATTTTGTCAAATAAGATCTGAAATGAATGTTAAACTCTTTAGTGGTAGAAATTTGGATCTACCTTCCTTTCCTCTCCACGGATCGTGACAGACAAGGTCTGGAGTTTTTTTATCGTGTCTTGTTTAAGTTAGTAAATATTTTTTTGCCTTTTAAAACTTAATTACTCAATTATCGTGTATATGACTATTGATTCCATACTATGGGCTATTTAATTTCAGTCTGAATTTATCAAATAAAAATAATACTTGATTTCAAACTGAAACGTGAGTCTAGGAGTGAGGGAGGGGGGTGACTGAGGGTGTGGGTGTTGGTCTGGGACCCACACACCCCCACACCCATGGTGCGGGTGTGGGCGCGCGAGTGAGGGTGAGGGTGTGCTTGTGGTTTTGTGTACTATAGGCTTTAGTCCCCTGCACAAGGGACTAAGCGGGGACTAAGCTTTTTGTGGGGGGGACTAAGGGGGACTTTGCAGGACTAGGGGGGACTAAGGGTTTTTAGTGAGACTACGTAGTATCAAGCGAGAAGAGTTTGATTCGGAAGAAATTGGTGTGGTTTTTTTGATTTTGGAATTCAGTTTGAAATAAAAAAGCCCATAGACTCATTGATTCATGGATTCCAAGTTGAACTTAACTTTGCTTGCAAACGAGAAAAAACTGAAGTTCTGTTAATTATTCTTTTATCACAAACAAACAAAATATTGCGCACTGTCGTCAAAAATAGTATCATTCATTACACTGCAGGAAACAGAACATTCTTGTTGTATCTTGCTCCGTTTTAAAAGTTTTTATTTTTGATGTTGAAGTTTTTTTTTCATACATCTATTTTCAAAAATATCATTCATATAACACATTAATCAATACCTTCCCTGGAACGTTTATTTTATCGTGGAACTCACGTATATTTTCGAAGAAAATAGTCAGTGTAAGTTTTAAGCCCAAGGTTTTCCGGCTCTCCTCCTCCCACCCCATTACAGACAGGCCACTATTCCAGACCTCAGCGACCGCGCACAATTCAGATCCTATACAATGTTCTAATGCATTCATAATTATTCGAAAAGAAAACTATTTTTCAGTTTAGAAATAATGCCTTAGGATAACAACCCGAAATCACATACGCGAGTTCCATATTTCAGCTCGAAAGGAGCTGCGCTGACAAACTTTTGCACTTGTTTTCTTTATATACTTTTCCAGTTATTTGTGAAAAGAAAAATTCTACAACTGTTTTTTTTCATTTTAATTTTCATTCCTCTGCATGAAATTAAAGAAGACCATAGCAATCTTCACTTTATTGGGCACAAAACCAGATTTAACTAAAAAAATTAAGAGTAAATAGCGCGAAAAAGATAAGATAGTGATCAAATTTTCAGTACAAAAATGCATGTCTTAGTTAACTTATGACAAAAAAATATAAATGAAACAGGAAAGTGGCACTATTTATCATGATAATTTTTCCTTTTCTTCGCTCTGAAACTAAGAGTAATGGCACGGATCCTTTTTGATAGTTTGTATACATGATGATCTTCAGTTGCCAGCGAAGCATGGTCTTGAGTGGTGTTTATCAGTTATGAATGTTCACTTGTAAGATAGAATTCGTGCCAAAAAAAAAGAATCATAATCGTCTGAAACGATTTTTACAGAAATTCAATGAACCATCGCATGCAATTACCAAAGCCTACCGAAAGCAATGATCTTGAAGTACGTCTGCAATGAATATTGTGGTTTAGTTCGAAGTTGCCACTCTAATTAAGAATATGATCGAACTGGCAATACACTCTAAAGCTAAGATGCCAACTGAGGACAAATATCAAACGCAAGTGTTATAAAGATGAGTACTGCTACATGAAAAGCTTTGAAATGGTATAGAACAATGAGTAATAACTGAACGACAATTTTGGTTTGACAGAGCCATTATTAAATAGAACCGATCTGACAGATATTGATATTAAGCTCGAAGTAGATAATGTAACTTATTCTGTCGTTTGAGAATGTAAGTTTTGTGGAAAGTTGACTTCCCACCAAGACAAATAACAGAATAATGATTTGAACTGCAACTTAAAGGAAAATAACAATCGAAAAAAAATCTGAATCAAAGTAAAGATACACACGACGATGGTATCCAAGGCAACTGTCAAAAGTGACTTCCCAGTGACTGCGAGCATCATAAACGATCCCAATGATGAGACTTCATCCAAATGTCGATTTTTGAGGAGGAATATGTGTATGGACAAGAAATGCTTCCAAAAATGGCAGTAGAAACCAATATCTTCTGTTATAGGCAGAAGAGACCGTTAATCTCCGTTTTAACAGGATCGATGATATAAATCAGTGTAATATTGCTTGTGAAGCCTGTATACTTTACCTATTCTGTGCAACGATAGAAAGAAAAATAAAAATAAAACCATGATAGTATGCATATTTTTCCAACCATCGATTAATTTTGTCACTCTTCATTATTCAAGCTGTCTAATCGATAAGTGAAAGAACAAGCAAAAGAATAACAACATTTTTGCGATAAAAAAACCAGTATGTCTCAATAATATATGATCATGCTTTTTCCCACGTCTACGGTTGATTGCACGCAAGCCG